GTATTCATCTTAACCAAATCTATAGCAAGGAGGGAGAAAGTTCCCCTAAACAGAAGATTTCATAACCAGTAGTGAGTAGTTTATTTATTCCCAAATAAAACTGAACTAAACCAAAATAAAAAATATGAGTTCAAGCCAACTCATATTCAAGAGACTCACCATGGGGAAAAGAGGTTGCTCGTAGAAGTTTGGGGGCTCGAAAGACTTGAATAATGTGGGTACTTCATGTCACATTCCGGAAGCTAATTCTCTGAAGTGAGTCTGCTTGGATCCCACCTCTGACACCAAGTATGTAGAAACCAAAATAAAATATAGAAGTGAATCTATAAATCAAATATTTTATTTGGGAATCACAGAACTGGAATTTACGGTATATATATGAACATGTGGGTGGTCTTTGGTATGTTCAAAGACCAAAAAGAAGGGTGGAAGTTTATTAGAAGGAAAAATATTATGTATTGTTTTGAAAGAAAGCTCACTGCCACTAGAGAAGCTTTTGGGAGCTGGTAAGCTCTGATTGCTGAATGACAGCAGTAGGTAAAACTAGTCTATGAGTCATAGCATGTCATTTCAGCAGCTACTAGGTAAAAACCAATCTTAAAGTTACAGCAGGCTGTTTTAGCAGCTGGGCTTGCAGGCAGTTTAAGGAGATGGTCCTATGTGCCCTGAGTGATTTCCGTGCCCCCATCCCTGGACTCTGAGTTAGTTGGGTATGACAAAAATGTCCTAATCTGTACAATCAATGATTACAAATACTAATTACTCTTTAAAAAAATTTTTTTTTTTTTTTTGAGACGGAGTTTCACTCTTGTTACCCAGGCTGGAGTGCAATGGCGTGATCTCAGCTCACCGCAACCTCCGCCTCCTGGGTTCAGGCAATTCTCCTGCCTCAGCCTCCTGAGTAGCTGGGATTACAGGCACGCGCCATCATGCCCAGCTAATTTTTTGTAATTTTTAGTAGAGACGGGGTTTCACCATGTTGACCAGGATGGTCTCGATCTGTTGACCTCGTGATCCACCTGCCTTGTCCTCCCCGCAGTTTTTTTTTTTTATACAGTATCTTGCTCTGTCTCCCAGGCTAGAGTCCAGTGGCATGATCTCAGCTCACTGCAACCTCTACATCTTGGGTTCAAGCAATCCTCCTGTCTCAGCCTCCTGAGTAGTTGGGACTACAGCTGTGTAATCTAGCTAATTTTTTGTATTTTTAGTAGAGATGGGGTTTCGCCATGTTGGTCGAGCTGGTCTTGAATTCCTGATCTCACCTGCCTTGGCCTCCTAAAGTGCTGGGATTACAGGCATGAGCCACAGCACTTAACCACAAATACTAATTCTTTGTGCCTGTATTTGTCTTTAATAAAAGTGTTAATCAAAACTGATCATATGAATTTATATAGTAAAAGCAGTGAGATTTCACCAAGAAAATATTAATAAATCTCCTAAAACCCTTAAAGAAGTGTTATGTAAATCTGACCACTATTGTACTCATGATTCTCTTTGTGTTTTCTGAAAATTAAACCCACAAATAAATATAATCAAATACTGAAACATATCAGACAAAATCATTTATAGGGCATCTGTGTAACCCATGGAAACAAGAAGCAGTTGATATTATAAAGTGGGTGAGTGAACAGATAATCAGAAACACATGCCTTTAGTGTTTTTCCCAAAATATATTTTGTTGACCTTAATTAGCAGACAAAAGATCCATGAAATTCTAATTTTCTTAAAATGGAGGATCCAATTTGTTAAAACTTGTTCAAGGCTCTACTAAACTTCAAGAAAAATAAAATACTTCTGAAAATTTATATACATTTGATAAAATGTATACCAAGCCTCAAAATAAATGTAGTACCTAGATTTTAAATTATTATGGTAAGAAACAGACATTATTCAATCTGAACTTAAAAACTCTTGCGTTTTTCAAAAGTTTGCCTATGAGTGCTAGTTTATCTGATTATTATTATTTTTGAGACAGGGTCTCACTCTTTCACTCAGGCTACAGTGCAGTGAGACGATTTTGGCTAACTGCAACCTCCACTTCCTGGGCTCAAGTGATCCTCCCACTTCAGCTGAGACCACAAGCGCATGCCACCATGTGTGGCCATTTTTTTTTTTTTTTTTTGTATTTTCAGTAGAGATGGGATCTTGCCATGTTGCCCAGGATGGTCTTGAATTCTGAGCTCAAGCAATCTGCCTGCCTCAGCCTCCCTAAGTGTTGGGATTATAGGTGTGAGCCACGGCACCCAGCCTTCTTGATGTGTTTATTTTAATCAGGTAAACTTTTATAAAACAGATGAAGCCCAAATGTTTTAATAACAACAACAAAAAAGTTGCCAGAAAAATTTAAAACATTTTCATGATATGAATAGATAAAACATTCTGACATTTTGAATACCAAAAAGTTTAAATATGAAGTCTATTTCTTATGCCTTCCATCTACTGTGTTCTTATATCTCAACAGTTACTTTGTTCTAGTTTAATATGTATACAACTTAATACAATATTCTGTACCATATTTCTGCATTTTTCATGTAAAAAATAATCTTGGAGATCTTAATGTTAAAACAAAGAACTCTGATTTTTTTTTTGTTTACAGCTGTACAACATTCAAACATATGGCTCTATCATAATTTAACTAGTATCCTGTTGGTGGGTACTTAGCTTGTTCCCAATCTTTTGCTCTTCTCAACAATAAGAAACACCTTGTGATTTCTTATATGTGGAGACATCTGTGGCATAAATCCCTCGAAATGAAATTTAGGGCTCCCAGTATATATGCATTTGTAATTGTAACAGATACTGCCAAATTCCTGTTTCTTTATAGCCCAGCCAAAGTGATGCCAGATATAATTTTATGCTTTTTCATTTAGAAATACACAATGAAAAGTAGGTTACTTATTAAAGAATTAGAAAGAAAGTAGGACAAGTTTATGCAGAGTACAGACTAAATTTTCACCCCAAAATACATGCAACAAGAATTTATTGTGCATCTACCTATGCCAAGTTCTTTTAGGCACTTGGGATATATACACAAACAAATCAGACGCAAATCTCTGCCTGTGTGTGGAGCTTCTATTTCAATTCTTCATTTTGGAACTCTCTGGTACTTCACAAGAAGCCAGTTAAATGTCAAAATCCTGAAAATGATCTGTTGAAATCCTGAGCACAGGCGCCAGACATATGCTACAAGTGTTATTTAAAAACTCACTAGAGGCAATGTTGCATATGATCATAGCTCTCCATCAGGTTCTTTTAAAACAACACACTAGAGAGAAAGCTCTTTTTATCCGACTCCATCTGCTGTTGGTGGTGATCAGCATACTGTGGGCATTGTGGTATCATCCGAGATTAGGCTGTTAAATAGGAAGTGGAATTACAGGCAGATCAGCAAGTGTATGCAAACTGTTGAGTTCTTTCTCTTGCTGAAACCAAGGGTGCCTAATTCAGGTTTGGAAAGTAGGGAAGATAAGGTTATCAGCACATTCCTATCAGGGTCGTTTCCTTTTTGCACTGCTCTTGTTTTGGTTTCATAAGGGGAACACAGCAGAGTCTATGGAAAACAGTTTCAGAAGCATACAGGCAATACTCTTCACACTGAACAAATGCATGAAAGCAGAACGGGTTAGAAACTGAGGGAAGACAAGGTGGTGAGTGCCAAGGACTGTGAGAAGTGAATGCAACGATAGAGACAGCACAGTCTCAGGCTTATTTTTTTAAAAAAATTCTCATTGTAAGCCTCTTTCCTTTCTAAACGGAGAATATCTTAACAGTTTAGCTTGCATTAGACTTAATAAGAATGTTGTAAACCACAGTTGTTAAAGTCTTGCTACTGCCCTATTGGATTCTTTGCATCCTGTAAGGAACAATTTGGAGTTCAGCTGGTTGATAAGGAAGCCAGGGTTTGTGGCATCTGCAAGTACAAAGTGGAGCAAAGAAAAGAGCCAACTCTGGAGAATAGCCCTTGAGCGCTTGAATCATATATATGCTGGGTGTTTCCCCCCACTTTCTAGTCTCTATTATTAATAAATATTTCATCCTGACACCACAACAGGCACAATCAACAACTGGTTAAAGAATGAGTAATTTCTCAACTTCCAACATCTCTCAGTTATTTTTTCTCACACTCATTGAATTCTAAAGCTAGAAGGCGGCTCATTTGAGAACTCAGGTTCAGAAGACTGACGTGCCAATAAATGGCAGAAGCCAGGTCTCTTGCCTGATTCCCATTCGAGCAGAGCTCCTGCTGCCACAGGAGCTTCAAAGACCTTCCAAACGTGTGACTTCCGGGTTCGGTGCTGCCACACTGCAAACCGGGAAGACACAGGACAATGAACCTGTGGCTTCCGCAGGGCTCGCATCCGCGGGCCCGTGGACGGCCGAATGCTGACCGACTGGTTCTGCCCTGAAGCGGCCGCCCGCGTCCCAAGGGTCTCCTCAGCACACAAGTGTGCAGAGCGGATCCCGCCCTGTGCTCTGGCGGCCCCGGCAACGGACTCAGTGCCGCGAGTCCCATTCCGTCCCCCTGAGGCGGCGTGCGGCACTTTTTCGGGTGTCCCAGTGGAATTTTCACGTGAACGACTGACCCACGCCCAGCTGAAGTTCCAGGGCCGAGGAAAGGAGCGGCAGGGCCCACGCCCGGCTCGTGTTTCCCTGGGCTCCATTCCTGCCACCCTGGCGCTCGGTCCGCCCTTCCCTGGTTTTCCCTACGAGCGTTTTCTTAACGCTTTCCACTCCTTGTTTACAAAGTGCTGAGCCCCCTTAGCCGCCGGCTACCCCGCTGGGCCAAGTTCCCATACCGCACCCTGGGCCGCCCCCGCCCTGTAAGGCCGCGGGTCGACGCACCCCGCGCCCTCCCAGACCGTCCGGGAGCCCAACGCCCGCCCGCACTCCCGGGCCGTCACGTGAGCCTCCCGCCCCGCCCCCGCGCATCACGTGAGCCCCGCCCCGCGCCCCGCCCCCGCGCCGGCGCGCTCCGACGTGCCCTGGAACTTACCCTCCCTCAGAGGCCAGCCTGCGGGGACCGGCCGGCTACGGCCGCCGCCGTGTGAAGGTTCTCCGAGCTCGCGTCGCCGACCCGCAGCCGCTGGGCGGGCTGAGGAGCGAGCCGCCCGCCGCGAGGCCGCCGGGCTCCGGGTGAGGTGCGAGGCGCGGGTCCTGGCGGACGGAGGGGCAGGTTGGCGAGGCGCTGCACAAAGGCGCGCCGGGGCCCGGGCTGTGCCCGCCAAGGGCGGTGGAGTCGGGGGGTAGCTGTGTGCGGGAGGCGCGGCCGCGGCGCCGAGGTGCGAGCTAGTGGAGGACGGGCGCGCCGCGGGGGGCTCCGGTCGCGGGGGTGGGCGCCGGGGGGAGGGGGCCAGCGCAGCCCATTGGCTGACGTGGGCGAGAGGGTTTAAATGACCCGAAGTTGTGGCTCCTTTGCCCCCTGTGTTTCCTGACTTCCTGTGTGAGGGCAGCGCCCGCCGCCCCGCCCCCAGGGAGGAGAGTGTAGGGTGCGCGGATGTGTGTGCGAGTGCGGGAGAGCGCGCGTGTGTGCACAAGGCGGGTGTGTGCGTGTGTGTATGCAAAAGGCGGGTGTGTGTGTGCACAAGGCCGGCCCGGCTCCTCCAGCGCCGTGGGCCGGCTCCCTAACCGCGGTGGGGCTCGCAGGTCTCCGCCCACCCGGGGAGCCCACCTGGGGTGTCCCTCTGGGGCGTCCCTCGGGCACTGTTGACCTTAAACCGGACACTTTCTTCTTTGCGGTCTTTCTCGATGCCCCGCCCCTGCTGGACGGACAGGCCTTCGCTCCCCTCCAGCTTCTCTGGGCGCAATCTCCTCAAAGTCCTTGAATTGAAAAATCCTCTTTACCAGCGTGCCGCCCGCCTCCCGTCTCGGGGGAGCTGGTTGTCTTCTCAGAATGGCTGTCCTTTACGGGTTGCTGCTTAAGTGACTGCAGACCCTCTGAGAAGAAATGGCCACACGGTCATCGTTAGAGAAAAAGGCACGCCCTTCAGCTGTCGAGGCGTGTGATGTTTTCCTTTTGACTGTAGCTGCAGTTTGATAAATGCATTTGCAAAGGTTAAAGCACGACGTTGAAAGTAGACCTTTATCGAAAGTTCTCATGTCATCCCAAGTGGAGTGTTTGTTGTGAATAAAGGCTTTTAGCACTCGAATAACAGGATTGCTTGTGGCTAGCTTTATGGCTAATCATGAAATAGAGAAGTTTATTTTATCGACTGTTTAGGCATGCGTTCCTAAAGGGAGGTCGTGGAAGAAGGAAGCCTCACTCGGGTTCTGGTTCACTTTCTGCTACCCGACTTCTAGAGGTTAGATCTAGGGAGACTCCGGGTGTTTGAATGGAAGTGTTAAAAGTCGCCTAGCCACGCCTCTTTCATACTTAAAAGTCGGGAAGGGTGGCGTAGATTTGTATTTACTTGCGCAAATCACATTTTCTTTACCTGATCTATAGGAGGGTGTTTTACAGAATGGGTCATCATCTTCTACGTCCTCTGGTCTGAATAGGCAGTCTGGCTCCTGGCGCAGTTATTTTTTTCTTTGTTTTAAAATTGCCTTGGAAACGTTTAGGGCAGAGTTTTGAGAGCCCAGAGCAGGAAGTGATCCTGAGCCATGCCACCTGAAGAGCCAGACCCACTGGGCACATTTGTGCGACCCCTGGTAGTATGTGGCTCCACTGCTCTGAAGGTGTTTCTCTCTTGGGGAAAAATAACCCCCAAAAGTGTAATGTACAGATTATGGGTGTGTGTATATTTATGCCTCAATATTTGTTGATATGTTTCTGTTCGCATTTTATCAACCACAGAAGCCAGAGAAGATTGTTGAGTCACCGATTCTTAAGATAATGCCGCCTGTGTAGATTAGTTGATCATATGTAATGATCAATACATTACATCTCTTTCGGCTTTATATTTACTAATGCCAGTTGTTTTGAGGTGCAAATGAAAATAGGTAAGTGCTGTAGAAAAACAGCATGTTACCTGTAGTTAATCATTTGGCTTTAGTATCTGCTCAGTAGTTTTTTAATAGGCTGAAAGAAAGTGAGCTTTACAAAGTTTTAAGTACTTTAAGTTATGTAAGTGACATTACTGAAAATAATAAGAGTGGTTAAAATCTTTAAATGGAGTAAAAACTGTAAATAGTGGTGATCCGTAAAACCATTAAATAGTAGTACTAATATTTTACTTACCTGAGAAAATAGGCATTACAGTTTTATAATAAATTATGGGCGAGAAAAGTGAAATTAAACTTTTGTCCTGTGTTTAACAATTTTGGCTAGAATTGCAAATATGCACTATTTTGTAACGTCAATCAGATGTGAAATGTGTGGTAGTACCACATAGCCTGACATATAAATCGGGCTTTTCGGATTATCTCATTTGAGGAACCTGTTGGCCCATTGTCTTTGTTTTTTTTTCTTTCAGTCAACTGGCCCTGGCTCATTGATAAATATATATTGCTTTGCTGTCATACAGCCATTTCCCTATTACTTTCATTGACTTCATGGACTTAATGAATATCCTGCAGTTTCATTTTGCAGTTGATTAGCTTTTTATTTGAACTTAGCTGCCAAATGGTGTACTCGCTAAGCCTCCCTCCCCTGTTGATAATCTAGTGCTTCTCAAACTTTAATATACATAGGAATCACCTGCACTTCTAATATCCACTTGGTCATGTGAATGCTATTCTGCCAGACCACAGACCACTGTTTTCTAATAGAAATATAATGCCTATGTAAATTACTGTGTAGTGGGCGCTGTGGCTCACGCCTGTAATCCCAACTCTTAGGGAGGCAGAGGCGGGAGGATAGCTTGAGCCCAGGAGTTCGAGACCTGCCTGGGTAATATAGTGAGACCCCGTTCTCTGCAAAAAGGAAAAAAACAGACAACAACAACAACAAAAAGCATAAATTACTGTGTAATCTTAAAGTTTCTAGTATTCACATTATAAAAAGTAAGCACGTGGAAAAAAGTGAAATAGGTGAAATATATTTTACTCATTATATTCACAGTATCACTTTAACATGTAATCAATATAAAAATTATTGATATTTTCTGTTCTTTACACTGGACCAGGATTTTTGAAATATCAAGTGTGTTTTACACTTAGAGCTTATCTCAATTTGCATTGGTCATGTTTGACTAGTGGCTAGTGTATTGAACAAGAGTTTTGGAGTCTAAAGTCTAGACCAAAGTTATTCTTAGTGTATTTTCAGATTGACCCCATCAGCAGTCCTTGGGAATGTAAATTTTAGGGCTCCACTTCATACCAGTGGTTGGTAGATTATCTAGGCCTGGGGCCTATAGTCCATGATTTGAAAACTCTCTGGGATGTGGCTACAAAATGTATATGTGGCATCCTGGATGGTACCCTGGAACAGAAGAAGGACATTAGGAGAATACCAAGGAAATCTGAATAAAGTGTGGACGTTGTTATGTGTCAGTATGGGCTCACTGAATACGACAAATGTACCATACTTACATAAGTTGCTAACTTGGGAAACTGGGTGCAGAGTACATGGGAACTCTCTGTACTATCTTTGCAGTAATTATGTCGATCTAAAACTCTTTTAAAAAAAGTTAATTTTTTAAAAAGTAGTTCTTCAGATTATTCCATCGTTCACTAAACATTTGAGAATCCAGTGATCTAGATCATTAATCACTTACACTTCTGCAGCCTGGTTGGGTGGGATGGTGGCTAGTATTGGGTCTGGTAGGACAATAATAGTATTTTTGTAATAAGAGCTAAAATTTCTAAAGCACTTGCCATGTACCAGGCTCTGTATCAAGTGCCTTACACAGGTTTACTTATTTAATTATCCTAATATGCAGTATGTACTGTTAATAAGCTCCATTTTACAGATGGAAAAAGCTGAAGCTCAGAGAGGTTAAATGACTTGTCTGCAGTCATACAGCTAGCAAGAGAGAGACAGGATGTTTTATAAATTATCAGTGCATTTGTAACTATTTTTCTACTCACAACTTTTGCTTCCTTGAGTAAACACCAATTAATATAGATAGTCTGTGATGTCTTAAAAGTTACAAAGTTCTTTTTCTTTTTACAAAGCTCTTTTGAGGTTTTTATTGTTTCCTTTGTTTTACAGACAAGTTAAGGTGCCTAGGATCCTGAGAGCTGATAAATGGCAAAGCCTAGATTTAAATTTTAGACCTCTGACTCCGAGTTCTATGCTCATTTCCTGCACTGCAGTAGAAGAGTATGTTATGAGGTTGGAGTGATATCTTTTAAAGTTGGTTGAAAAATTTCTATATTTTGCTACATGTTCTTAAAATTTCAGTTTTTGAAGATATAATATACATAAAATACACTAATATTCAACAATAAAAAAGAAGGAAGTGTGGATACAACATGAATGAATCTCAGAAGCATTAATCTAAGTGAAACATGTCAGACACAGAAGGCTATGTACTATATGATTTGTATTTTTCTATTATGCTTTTGCTTCTTTGAGTAAGCAGTGATTAATGTGATGCCATCTATCATGCTTTATATCTAAGTGCTTTTTTCACATTTTCTCTTCGCATTCTTATAAGGATCTTTTGAGGTTTGTACTTTTCCTGTTTTAGAGATGGATTGTACCGCAGTTTGTATTCACAAGTTCATAGACCTTTGAGTTTTCAATTTCTGGCCATTATGAATGTTCATGTAAGGGCTTTGTGTGGACTTAACGTTTTCGTTTCTCTTGGGTAAATATCTAGGAGAGGGATTGCTGGATCATATGGTGAGGGTATGTTTAACTTTATTAGAAATGACCAATTGTTTTCCAAAGTGGTTGTACCATTTTGCATTTCCACCAGCAATGAAGAGATTATATTGTACAAATATTCTCTGTTTTGTTAGTGATATCTGTTGTTTTATTTTACATCATTAGGGTTTGTTTGACAGTTTTTTAAAAAATACTGTTTTGAGGTGTAATTGCTGTGTAACAAGCTGCACATACTTCTTTAAGTGTAGAATTTGAAGAGTTTTGACATGTGTATATACTTGGGAAACCACCAACATTTTCAACATGATGAACATGTCTTTCACCACTCAAAAATTTCCTTGAGCTCCTTTTTAATTCGTTCCTCATGTCCCCTGGCAACTTTTGCTCTGTTTTCTGTCACTATCAATTAGTTTGATTCTAGGAAAT